ATAGGTCTCCAGTATTATCCTGTGAGTAAATGAATTTAATAAAAGTGTTGTAATAATAACCAGTAACGTTTCCCAGATAATAAATTTGAATCATCTAAGTAATATTTTTATTGGTTTAGTTTTGCAATTGCTATACAGCAGCAATTAGTTTTATAGCATTAAAATAAGTAGTGTTGCATTGTTATTAAATATTATATTGCCTTACCTTAAGCAGTAAATCTTTGTAAATCATTTCTGTTTGGTTTGGAAAAATATCGTGTATTTTGGTATACTTACATATGTTAGGCAACTGATCAATTTTTTGTAGTTAGAAGTAAATTTAATGTAAAAATGCTTTAAATTATCCCAAATACAGCGAAATAAATGAACTATGTCACAAACAAATAATAATTTTAGACAATATTTGAAAATACCAGATATTTTCTAGATATACCTACTAGAATTGATGAATCGAATACCGACACAAAAAAAAATATATAGTACAAATTTTCACAACTGTAGGTTATACTTTTACTACAAACACACATTAAATTTCATACAATAAAAATTATACTTTATTTGTGAAATTATACGAAAATATCTACTTTTTATAAGTACCTATTAGATATTACAATTGTGACCAGTTTTTTTGCACAAAACGAAGAATCACGGTTAATATAGTAATTTTTTCCATGTAAATATTGTTGTCTTAAAGACAAGTCTAAATGTGTAACCGATTTAGCTTTACGTCGATTAACTTGAAAAAAAAAAAATTTAAATAAACTGTTGTTCGTGTAAGAATGTTGTCAGAGATGTTAAGTATGGGAAAGCACTTCAGTTTTTGTTTTACTAGTAGTCTCTTTTGATGTTTTACAGTGTCTAGTAATGGTGAATATTTAGTAATTTGTTATAACGTTTCAAGACAGCGGTAAAATCAAATTTCGTCAAATTTCCTGGATATTAAAAATATGTATATCTAATCCAGAGTATAAATAGATGATCCTATAAATTATACAAAATTTGTTTATATTTCTTTCAATATTTAATGACTTAAAAATTTCAGCTAATAGATATAAATCTATGTAAAGTAGAATCTCAATTTTTTATAGCCTCCTTAATTTTTGACAAGAATATTTTCTTATATACCAAGAAAAATAGCTAATGTTAAAATATGCAGCCTATTTGGAACTTCTGACAGATTTTTAAGTACATTGAAAACATTTTCATTTAATATCTGTATTATATTTAGTTATATTGGATTTAATGCGGAATCTATAAATTAGTTTTATTTAAAATGTTCAAATTATTTAAGGTGGTATTTTTTTTAAATTATTATTTAAACTAAATTGTATATTCTCAAGAATTAATACAATATTTATATACTTAGTTAAAGGTAAAAATAAATGTAAGCACTGTTTATTCAATTAATGTAATTTGATTGTACATTTTTCCTTCTATTAAAAAATTACCTACAGTAAACCACAAACTACTTACTGTAAAATATGAAGTAGGTAAGGTAATTTGTTGCTATAAATAGACATATGCATATTCTTATAATGTTTATTTTAATATGTAACACATGTAAACATCTAGGTAACATGTGTTAAGTGTTTTATTTTTAAATATTTCTGCTTTGTGAAACCTGCTTTTCTTTAGGACCTTACATTTTTTAAGAAAGACAAGACATGACGTAGGTATTGCTTAATTTGTATGTTAACTTTCCTGGTTAAAAGCGAAAGATTTTTTGATTTGTACAGAACTATTTTAAATAGCTTTAAACAAAAGTCCGCAGGTACCTATTTAATTTTTGTCTGATTTCTACTATCATGCGGCAGATTTTTGTGCAAACCAACCTATTTTCTCCGTAAGTGATAAATCTGTACAGTTTGCTTTGTGCAGATAAATAGATGGATAGATTTATTTCGTTTTTGAGCATACAGACAAATTACATAGAGGTAATACAAGTTTTTTTCAGGTTACAGAGCTGTCATATGTGTAAGGTATGTGGTTCCAAAAAATATATGTACCTAATCAATTATGTAATTTGCAAATAAAAATATAAAACAGAGTAACATGAGTGAATTAAATGATATTCCAACAAGGGCTAAATTATATGTTCATGAAATTTAATATATTTTTCTTAAATGTTGCTAAATACTTAATCTTTTTCTTCGAAATCATTTATGAAAATATACCTATTGCTTGGTTGTAAACCTTTATTTCTATATAATTGGGCTTTGTTGGTCTGCTGATGGTCTGGATAGTATGGAGTAAGTAAAACTATTAAATGAGTGAATGAATATCTTCGAACTAAGTCTGACAAATTAGATATCTCTTATAAAAGCAAAAAGTGATTAGCCATAGGATGGCAAAGTCATTATATTTAGATTTTTGGACAATGTTTTACATGCAGTTTTCTTAATGCCTTATTGCATTTTTTTGTATACAAATTTAAATCATTAGGTAACTGTCGCTACTGATCGTCAGTTCCATATGTTAAGACTTAATGAAATAGACTAAAATACAATATTAGTGCAAGTACCGAGGTATATTGATCTATAGATACTGCATGTTTGGAGGCAAAATTTTGCTACATGCGTATTCCTCGATGATTTTCTATCGATATGCGCAGTCTCCTAAATTTTGTAGCATTCACGTTTTCAATCCCACTCTTGTACAAGAGTGATGACAAATGCTGATCCTTCATGATTGAGTTTAATGTCATTTTGTTGACGTTTATTGTTGATTCATAGGCTATATAGTATTTTTTTATACTTTCCTGGTAAAGACGTATCTACTAGTATCGCCAGGGTGTTATAAAAAATAAATTTTAATATTACTCCTTGGGTTACTTATTTATGTAACAGCCACGTAATGTAGGTGATATGGGTGTACCACAGCTCACTTTTTGGTACCGTCGATCACTACATATTGAGGTTCTTATCCCGGGTATTTGTAGGGCCTCGTACACATCATAATTTAGTTTATTCGATAAAAGTTCATCATCGACGGTGTCAAATCGTATCTCACATCAAGAAATAAACTTAAACTGTTTGTTTTTTGTTTATTTCACCGTAATGCAATGTTTTACCCAGTGTCGTATTGCTGGAAAATTTTGAATAAAACCCATTTAGTAGATGTTTCCTAAGAAACAAAACAAAATTCACACTGACAAAAAGGAGACAAATACAGAAACACCACATCTTCGCTCACTTTAAAAAGTTGATGACATTTTCGAAAATCAATCTGTTTTCGTCTTCTGAATTCATAATGACTATTCGTTTTTAATTATTTTTGCTTGTTTCCATAGTTAGAGAGAGGTACCTATATGCGAGTATTATTAGGTACTTGCTATATCTCTTAGTATTTGTAATCAAAAGGACCTTTTTCAACGTTCAAAAAAATAATATCGGTCTCATTTAATTTTCTTTTAACGGTATTTTCCTACTCAAAATTTTGACCAAATTTTATTCACCGATTATATGACCGTTTCCCCAAGCATGTTGACACATTTTAGATTTTTCGAATTCTCGTTCTTTTATGTATTTTTTAATAATATTGTTTATTGCATTCACCAGGTATGCTATAAATTTTTTGAATTTTGAACATCATTAGATATTTGGATACGCTTTTGACTAAAAAGTTTGTACCTATAGTATTTGTTGTCTGAAAAACAGTTATAATGTTAAATTTGTTACATATTCTCCTTAATTTTTTCAATAATAACTTTGATTGTGGATGCAATTTCTTTTCTTGTCTTACAGAATTTGTTTTATATACTTCCAATGTTCTTCAAAACTCTTACAACAATATTCTCAGAGTACTGATTGTTTATTAGTACCTACCTATATTTTATAGGTATAGGATTTCAATTTATTAATATTTTATTTTTCGAAGAAATCAATTTGGCTCTATCGTACAAACCACGGATTTAATACAATCCGTGGTACAATTTAATTCAACCGTACCTACTTTATATAAATATGATGATACGAATTAAAATTTAAACATTTGTTAGTGTGAGTTGGTTTTCTATACCTAAACGTTTGTTTCTAAAGAATTGCCATTTATTTATATTGAAATTTCTGGAAAGGGTATTATTATTTTCTATTTTCGAAAAACAATATTGTTACTATTAGCTCGCCAATGTAGACGAAAAAAAGGTGGGACTGATAATAAATGAAGACGATAGACAAGCTGTTAGGCTGTGAGGTAATGTCATTTAGTAAGATATGTAGATACAAATTTCACAAGACACAATTAATGGTGCTTAACTAGTTTTATGTAGGATGAATTTATCAAAACAGGAGAGTAAGTGATAGAGATAATTAACTGGGTACATTATTCTATGTTTTCGTCAAGGGTGTTTTTTGGAAATTAGTTTAGAGAAAGAGTTGACTGATGTATGCAGGTGAGTTTGAACACCGTAAATTTTTTATAGTTTCATAAAAACGTGCTAGATTTTAATTAAGAAGGCCGCACGGACTGAAACATTGTGAAAATCTGAATAAATCCGATGACCAGGCATCGCACCCTTCCCCACGTGACGGGCCGGCGCGGGGAAAAAACGGCGCCTCCGAAAAAACCGTCTTTTTCAGGAAAGTGGGAGCAATTTAAGAAAAACGAAAGAGTACATTGATTCGGAATAAAAAACGGCGGCCCGCACACCTCGGTATTGATTGCGCAGCGACAGCCCGGTGACATTCTTTATCAATACGTCATAGCTCATATTTCAAGTTCTCTTGCATCCGCCCTCGAAGCTACAAAGAAACTAACTTCTTTCGGTAGCGGTGGGTGGGCGGCCGGAGAGGGGCCGTGGGGGGGCGCCAATCGGCGCCTCTCTAGCCGGCGCGCCGACCAATCGGGCCGAGGGCGTGCGTGACGAAATCGGCCCCGCCTCCCGGCACTTGCAGCCGTTTTTCCAAATGTTTTTATTTATTACATTCGTACCCGCCGAGTGTACCGGTTGTGTGTGCACTTCCTTTAGGCCGCGCAACAGAGTGTACTCCGGTGCGCGCTCACCGCCCCGCCCGCGACAGACAGACAAACAATCGAAAACCCTCACTGTTACGACATCTCTCCGACTGTCTGGCCGTTTACGATTGCGATTGTATGGACCCCGTTTGGTGTTGAGTGCTTTGGTGTAGTTTCTCGCGCCGCGATGATGGACAACCCCGGGATGGACTCCGCCAGTGAGCACAGCAGCCACGCGTCGTCCGGCTCGCCCGCCGTAGCCATCAAGCCGTCGCCGTCGCCTCCAAACAACAACAACATCTCCTCCAACAACCACAATCACAACCAGGTGCACAGCCCCAGGCAAGCCAGTCCGTTGGGACCGCCGATGTCCATAGGTCACCCCCTAAGCCCGCCACCGGTGTCGTCGGCCAGTCTGGCCCGCAGCATGGCTCTAGGACACCTGCCGCCTCCAGGTCTTGGTCTCTTGAATTCCCTGGGGGTTCTGCACAGTCCCTTGGATTTGATGGCTCATCATGCGCCTCCTCGTTCTTACAACAGTCCGCCGCCGATTTCCACGTCCGATCCCACAGCCAACGAGTGTAAATTAGTCGATTACCGCGGTCAGAAAGTGGCGGCCTTCATCATAGCCGGGGACACCATGCTGTGTCTGCCCCAGGCCTTCGAGCTCTTCCTTAAGCACCTGGTTGGTGGTTTACACACGGTTTACACCAAACTAAAGCGTTTGGACATTGTGCCCTTGGTTTGCAACGTTGAACAGGTCAGGATCCTTAGAGGTCTTGGTGCCATCCAACCGGGAGTGAACAGATGCAAGCTGTTGTCCTGTAAGGACTTCGACACCCTCTACAAAGACTGCACTACAGCCAGGTACGTGTTTGGTAGATACTTTTGTCTTTGTGTCTTTGGAGATGAGTGTATATTGTTGCTGGAACAGAATCTGATGAGATAGACGAGAACAACTAATGAATATACTAAGACCCATTAAGGTGTAAAGATTTAGAGCATTCCAAGGCTCAACTAAGACTGTAATCAGATATTTGATCGTAGAAAGTAGAAAATCAAAACATGCGAACCTACTGTATCATTACAGTCTCAACAGAATTATATTTTTAAGATGTACTAATTGAAATTGTCTGAAATAATTCCAAGTTATAAGATATATCTTATAAGATCTTTTGTTGTTTGAGCATCAAGCCTTCATACAGACATTTATAAGTTAAGAAATCTTTGATCTTATCGTTATAAGAACATTAACTCAATTTCTAGTTAGTATACTTCAAAAATCAATGAAAGTAACTGGAAGAAAACATTAAAAACTAAATAACAAGCTTTAGTAGTTCTGAGAACCATTCAAACATTTTTGGTGAGGTGAAGACGGAAGTCCTATTGAAACGTAAAGATTTAAACAAAACAAAGTAACTTGATAAGAAAGCACAGTCAAAAGTTGTTTTTTAATTAGTAGAAAAGCAGTACAAGATCAGATATTTGATCTTAGAAAGCAGAGAACCGCAACATTTACTATTCATTGCAGTAAGTACTAATAGAACTATATTTTTAAGATTTGTTATATAAATTCAAATTGAGAAAAAGATTCGTACACATCTAAGTAGCTGCCAATAAATATATAACTTAGTAAATCTCTATCAACAAGAACTTGAACTCAATTCATAGTTAGTGTACTTCTAAAATCAATAAATCTATCTGGAAGAAGAAACAATGAGTAAGGTTTGATGAGTTGAAGGTAAGATCACACAGCTGATCTACCTGTACTTCATTCTCGTTCACACGTATATCGTTTTAGACGTAAATTCAAAAAGTATCCATCAGGAACTGAAAAACCCCCTCGGGTGCCTTCGATATGGGTTAGTAGAAGCCGTCGTTCGCGAAGATCGTCGCTCCCTCTCCCTGAAATAAATCAGCGAGCGTTAGGCCTAAATTTAATACGACGTTTACATCTGTAGAATTCCCCAAACGGCTCGCAGGAATCCTGCTACCACCGACGATCGCGCGTATGATAGACGCAGTCTATAAATACTAACTGGGACAATCGGAACCCTCCTTCAATGGAAATAATTATAAACGGCAATGAAACAAGGGGTGACTCAAGTGGCATTGTTCCCCCTTGCATCTACATACGCGATGCCGACTGTTGATTCTGTTCGGAATCGTACCTAAATTCCAATTACTGGCAGAGAAGTAGACGGTGCACGTGTTTTATTGGAAGTTTTGCAGGAACGGGATTTGTAGTTATTAAAAAAATTGTATGATTAGTAAATATAGGCGCAGGGGAAGCGAACTATCATCTGTTACTACGTTTTACTGAGAATAAAAGAAATATCGTCGTCAGAATTTCAATAAACATTGAAGGAATACGATATTTGGAGTCACTTTGAAAAAACATATTAACAAGGAATGTCAGAAAATCCATTTCTTTGACTTGTATTCTAAGTCAGTCAGTTGAGTAGCTCGAATGTTGTTACACCTACGCAGCACTATAAAGTGTTATAACAATTTGGTTTCATCCTTTCTTATGCTGTTAACTCGATATAAAGAGGAAAACGAATTGAAATTTTTTGAATAAAAATCGTTATTGTTGTTATACAACTTATCACACAAATAGTACAGTACATTTGATTTTTGAAGTATACGTCGTAGGGAAATTTGAAAATTCTACTGCCTTTCATGATGATGTCAAAGAATATGACACTTTATTGACTTTTGGAGCATAGGTATATAGCAAAGAAATTTGTTAATCCTATTCTCTTCTTGATTTTGTCTTGACGTCAAAGAATGTGTTATTGTACTTATAATGCATTTGTACATGTTAAAAGTTTAGATATTTGGAAATCCTATTCTGTTTCTTGAGTTTGTCTTTCTGATGTCGAAGAATATACTGCTGTTTTTATAATGCTACTTTAAGAATCTATAAAATTGTGTCTTTAGTGTATAAATGTCTGTTACATTTCGTTAAATTCTTTGTCTACTACCAAAATGTTTAAATGTGGAGATAATAGATATATAATAAATACGTCTACGGCCAAATGAAAGTAGCTTTTACAAAACAAAGTCTTTCCTATTCTCAATTCAAGAAATCGCACAGTAATTCAATTCTTAAAATAGTTGGAAACAGATCCATGTATTAAATTCAATAACACACGTGTTTTCAAGAAAACCAAGCTGAAAAACAAAACTGTTGATATCAAGTCAAATATTTTAAGCTTGAGTGTATGCATAGTTAAAGCTTTAGATGTATAAGATGCCTTGAATTTTTTTTGGGTTCATTTTCGTATTCCGTAACAAAACTGACCCTTGTAATGTGTTAATGCTGTTTTTATATAATTATTATCATCAAAAAAACGTTGTCATCGAATTTATTTATCTTTAACACGATATTTTGCAACGGCTTTTGCTTGAATACCCTTCCAGTTTTTTATTATCCTGATACAGTTTGTTCTATTTCACTCTGCGCATCTCCAGTTTCGATTTCGCATTTTCATTTTAATTAAAACTCCGTATTCCACGGCACAACCGTCCGCCCGTCGCTGCGAGCCTTCTGGCGCCTACGTATCGATATATTATTCCCATTTGTTAAAGGGATGATAAGTCTAACGGCGATCTGACAGATCCTATTAACACCACGGTGCCACAAAGGCAGTGCGGATTCCCGGTGAGCCTCCTCGGTCCGGCCCGGCTACCGATCATTTATAATACAAATATTAACACTATTGTGCCCATTGTGGCACTGTAATGGTAGTTGTTGGTAGCCGTTAAGGCATCGCGCCCGCTGCGTTCGAAATCTCCAATTATCTGGCCTGTAAAGTTTGATACAGGGAGATTCGTATTAGGCAAGAGTAAGTCCATTAAATTTGTACGTCTAATCGGTATTTTTGTAGTCGTATTACTGTAATGGAATGCTGCAGGAATCTGCAGAATCATCAAGTGGTCATCAGAGTAAGTACCTATATCAACAAAGTTTTTCAACGTTGGGTTCTCCGTCTTTCGAATCTCCGTCAAGCGTATCTGTGTTGTACGAGGAGATTTTGGTAAATTTGAAATGGTATTTCTGTCTTTGAAATAAAAAAGGTAAATCCCCAGAAATTGGTAAATTTTGTAATAAGAACTCTCAGTTTGTCTCCAATGTCCCTTAAATTATCCCCAATATTGTTTGTGTACTTTTCGAAATCGACAGAAATATTTTAAACAGCTGTTGCTTGTGTGTGTAGATAAATTTTGCAAAATCGTTTGGATTAGGTAATTTTTTTAGTATTGTTGAACAATTCTTTAAAAGTTTGATAATCTAATCTGTAAGTCGTCTTTGATTTCTGCCAGGAACGAAAAATCGGGTACCTGAAATATTGGAATCATTAAACAATACGGAAAGCTTTCAAAAGAGAAGCATAAGATTAGATTGGAGAAAGATCAACACGAAGTTTAACCACGATCATTTCTATCATCATTTTTAGAACAGAAGCGTCTTCTTTTTAAAAATTGAATTAAGTATTACAGTACCTATACCATATAAAATATAAAACCTTTAGAGAAAACTACATTTTGAAACGATGGTATCAATAATACTGACAATATGTCTAACTTAATTAAGTAATACATGAATCGTTTTTTTATTATATTTTTTATTGTCAACTCTTGCACTTTTATTTTATTTAAACCCATTTATCTGATGCAAATATCCTAAAACTTCTCCAAATGAAGTCATCTATGCTCTTTTATACTAAGTAGATTTTCACACGCAAAAAACATAAAAAATTTACACAATTGTTGATTATAATTTATAAAGATGCGACTAATTTCAACTTATGTCTCTCGGTACAAACAGATTGTAAGTTATATTTAACTTTATTACAATTTTGTTAAATAGGTATATTCATTTTATATTTTGTTATAATGTGCCTAAACAATTCTGTTAAATAAACATGAAAAAAATCTCAAAAGAAGAAGAAAATTTCTACATATTGTAGCTTTTGAAAGATGCAAAATTTTTTTTAAATACTTTTGTGTGAGTGATTAAGTTTTCTAGAAGTTGTCTTGGAGTACGAGAAAAACATATACCACAAATATAAATTTTATTTAAGTAAAAACTGCACTTATAAATATACAAACGAAATAATCTTGTAATAAAACACAAACGATATTCAGTGTGGTCAAAAAACAAATTTGGAAAACACCGTTAAAGATAATTACAACTTCTTATACCTATGTTTACATATCACTAACATTTTACAGCTTTCAAACGCCAGTAAATAAGAAATTTTGGCACCGTACTGATATCTTCTAGTTTTTCAAGCAAATCAAGCATTTTTGTGTAATCTGCACAAATATTCTTCTTTAAATTTCTGATAAGAATTTTTAACTAATAGTAGAAATCGTATACTCGACATCATCATCACTTGGAAATCATTAAATAATATTAAAAACTTTCCAAGAAAATATTTCCAATTCTTGTTCTAAAAAGTTGGATAAAGATCGGCAACAATTTCAGTTAAGATGGCATAGCTTGATCATTTCTAGATTTTATGTATAGCTATATAAAATGCCTTCCTTGTAAAAAAGAATTTGTAGTTATCTGAATATTAAGAAATATTAAACTGCATAGGTATATAAAATTTTTGAGAAAACTGTAGGAACGACATTATCGGTAGTATTAAAAATATGCCTAAATCAACTAATAAGTAAATGAAGATGAACATATTTGCTCTTGAATCTATTTATTTAATTTTGTAGTTTTCATCAATAACTATTGTACTTTTAGTTTTCCTTAAAGATATTAATAAATTCAAATGATTTTCCTATCATTATTCATCAAATGAAGCCTTATACGCTGTTTGATACCAAATATCTGGGTATACTAAAAAGTTACAGCAGAAGAACAACTGTCTCTTCCTTCAAACATAACTATTCTCTTTCTCGAATCCTACCCATGTCCAACGACCAAGCAGTAATTTCGAATATGACTGCTTGTTTACGTTTCTAACCAAATAACATTATTTTGCGTGCCCTAATTATCTAAGCTGCCATTATCAAACAAACAGCGACGGTAGGCACATACCTATTAAATATATCGATTGAAACTATTGTATATTTTTGCGAGCAGAAAACAAGGTCAGGCGCGGTGTAGGTACATCACAAAACCGAACGACCTTACTCGAAAAAATAGTTCATTGCCGGAGAGATACTACTTTTTGATAATTGGGACTATCTGCAAAGAAAGAAGAGAGGATAGTGAGGATGAGTAATACAATAGATTGCAAATTTTAGAAAAGAAGCGTTGGGGTGTTTTCTTTACTTCAAATATCATGATATTAATAATAATATAATATCATAATATTATTTGAGAAAAATCTTACCAGTTTGGTAGACTGGAAGGAGTACTCAAAATAAGAGACGATAATGATTACCGTAATTTTTAGAAAGCTAGTTGAATTCAAGTAATCCAAAACCAGTAGGATGAAGATGATGAGAAAGGTATGTTAAGGGATGAGTGTGTTGAACCTCAGTAGTTGGTTCGTCATATATCTAAACACTTGAATTCGACATAATAAGAAAGAAATAACACAAAACAATGTGGTATCATTGCAGCTGTAACAACCATAAACATAATAGTTCTTGTCTTATGCAGTTTTCTCTGCATTGTTATCCATTTTTTAAATGATCACCATGAGAAGCCATACATTGTTGTTCACCATTCCTGATCTGTGTAGTTCTTCAAGTGTTTGAGGTATATTCTTATTTCTTATACACCTTAGACATGTCCGTACAGACATTTTCGAGCATGCAATTGTCATTAAACCATAAAATAAATCTTCCAGGAAAGAGATCTCCTGGAGTATTCATAGGCTATACAGCTATATTCGCAGTAGCACCAGTATGTTGGAACAGTATGTTGTATACATTAAGTCTTGTTGCCTCAAAAAGTAAATTTTTACCTACATTAGAGATTTCCAAGAACGTCTTGGAAAATTTGACACGTACTCTTTTATTCTGATCCTTTACTTTTTGTAAAAAACATGGATTTTGTATGGATGTTAGTGAAGATGCCTTTCTTTTCAAAGCTTGAGCTCATTTGGCTGAACTCACTTGTTGTTTCTACTATTTCTCTAGTAGTTTTTTTCATTCGAATTCAGCAAATGTACAAAATTGTGAAGTTGTGTGTGTTCCATTCATAATATAATTGGAACCACAAGATGTTTCTGCTACGAATTCATTTATTAGTCCCCTGCTTCTTGTATGCTTCATATAATGTACGTTTTTCATGTCTATTTTATATTCTAGTTCTTAGTTGCAGTTGCATTTAGTATACCCACTAATTAAGGTTGACGCTCGCCCACTTTTTAGCAAGTTTAAACAGAAGCGTTAAATCTTTTTGTGTAATTTGTCCATTTGCAGCACCACGTAATCGAATACACTAAGAAGCGTTGGATATCAACTATGTTACTGCACCATCGTTTCCATTTGATTCCTGCGGTCGTAACTTCTTCCTCCGGCATAAATTTTTTACACTACCTGAACTCCTCTTTCCGATTGTGTGTGCCATCGCTCAGGATGGTGGCGGGCATAAAAAATTTCACCGTGCTGTCGATAGTGACCCCCGGTTCGGACCCGGCAATAAATAACCCGTGATTTTCTCGAACAACTTATAGGACTACCCGAGCGTTGTGTTTAACGGTCGGGCGTAACTGTCCGCGATATTTATTTAGAGATGATTTACGCCCAGGCAAGAACTGTGCGCTGCTGTCGTGTTTATTGTCCGGGATGGCATTCTTGAAGACTTTGTTGCAGTCGCAATCGCCCGAGAGGTTTTACTTGCTAGGATGAGACAATGGAGGCCTTGCCTCTCTTCATTACTGAAGGCTGAGCCAGCGGCGTCAGCGGAACGAGGGCCCACCGGGAAACTCGCCGACGAAGGCCTCCAGGAACTGAATGAAGGTGTCACTTTTGGGTCTCGTTGATGGCAAATTTTTAAAAAGGGACTGGTTATGATGGAGCCATCAACTGGTGTTCACAATACATGATGTGTCGGAAAATAAAGTAAAATTTCATGTCATCTGCATATGCAGGTGTTTTATAATATTGAGTAAGTAAATCGTTTGCGAACTGTAGAAATAATAAAGGCTCTAAATTTGAGCCTTGTGGATCTCCGCATTATATTCCGATGATAGACCGCCATCATTTTTAATCTTGAGGCATCACAAAAACTGTGACTTTAGTCACTTTAGTGAAGGCTACTTTGAAAATTCTGCAACATCATATGGACATGGGAACGCTGAATATAAGGAAGTGCCCCTGACTGAAAACCATTCCAAGGCTGTGTAATTATTTCATAAAAATAATAACAAAGTATTACAGCACTTCACGACGTACATACATCGGATTACTAAGTATTAAGTTAATAGCCCAGAAGGCACTGTTCAAAACGCAACGTTGTAAACGTAATGGTAGTTGTGCTGTTCCTAATGGTTACGTATTAATTAAATCTAAGAACATATTTCAGTGATTTATGGGTGAGACTATCTGGCGGAGGTATCGTCGAAAATTGCAAAATCTTCACAGTGGAACGTCTCTAAATGAGCAAAAATAATTGCTAAATTGTTTGCATAATTTTCAGAGATCGTTGGGTAAGACCTTGTTATTACCAAATACCCAGACGCAAGCAAATTTTTTTAGAAAGTCTTTTTCTGTTTTTGTTGATCAAATCTTACAAATGAAAGAGGTTGAAACTTGTACAACTTTTAACACAATCAAATGTTCCCCAGTCACCATCTGTATTTACTGAATCTTCTATAACGAAATGTCTAAAATAAACACATATTTACCTCTCATTAAAATGTATGCAACTCTATAACTTTTGTAGAGCATTCATTTGTTGTTGTGTCCCTTGTTGTTCTTACAACTTCTCCACTTGATCCACGGTTCTTTTCCATCGCTTCTAAATTTTTTCTCGGAACCGAACGACAATACAGTTACAAGTAATATAACAAACAATTTCTTGAGGCACCTGGTTCCAGCATAAAAAAATAATTGCTTGGAACATGAAGTGAGGTAGCTGCAGAAAGTACTTGGGGCAAAAAACCAGTCATGGTCCCAATCTAATTTGAAGATAGGCAACGTGGCGCATTGTCTCTATTAGGATGAATTAAATTTAAACAATGGTCTCATAGAAAAAGGGTTATACGTGTGGAGAAACAGCTGGCGCACCTTGAACACGATTAAATTGATTTCGTTATGTAAAATTTCATGCGGAGTCGATTTTGGTAGCCGTAATTGGCTCCCGGACTACCTGATGAAATTCTTCGTCAATAACAATATCAATAAACGAAATAAACGTGAGGAAGCTAGAGAGGTACATGGTCGTACGCGAAGAAACCTCTAGTGCAAAAGACTTTTACAACAAATTAGTTTTAACTACAACAAATAGTTGTTCAATGTATCAAATAATATAAGCAGTGTGTCTTCTGACATAGATAGTTAGCATTTTTTCAGTGCAGATGGCTTGTATTATGTTGGACTTTTCTAATTCAGTGACAATTACCAAAGCTCAATTATCGTTTTTTTAATTATTATCTATTACTAATTTGTGTGACTTACCTCTTATTTAATGACGAAGTCTTTGATTTAATGACCCCATAAGTAATATAATGATGACCACTATTATTTAATTACCTTTTGCTGCATTTAAAGAACACTATGATTTATCGCCCGGAAATTGAATTTTTACAGAAATTTAGATCCTATTTTTTCTTGTTTTTTTTTAATGACCCCTTCGGCAATTAGATTCATTTTTCAAAACTATTATTAGACTTAATGAAAACTTGTATAATCTAATGTAATCTAATCTAATATAATATAATCTTTAATTACCAATATTAAGATTTAATGACCCCTTATGCAGTTTATTCATCGAAACCAGAATTTATCGGCTTCATAAGTAATTTAATGACAATTTAGTGACCCATTTTATCATTTCAGCCTATAAGTACATAACGGGTCTACAGTAAAATAAAATTTTATTTTGAAATAAAGATTGGTTTTTAAGGTTCAGTCAAAACAATACCTGGGATCAACACCTTTAAAGAAAGATGCTTGTTTTTTTTTAATAGGTCGTACATTCAATAGATGTTGCTCTACATAAAGCTTTAAAGTTTGATTTAGATTTTTGAGGCTGTTTTTGTATTTAACGGAATTGTCAATGTTTAACGACCATTTAACATAAAAATTCGTTCCAAATTTTACTTTATATAAAAATTTAAATTCGATTTTACCCAATTTTCAAATAATCGGATGATTTATTGATGATTTAATAGTCCTTTAAGTAATTTAAGGATGAATACTATGATTTTAATGACTCCTTAAGTAATTTTATGACGAATGATTTAATGACTCTTTATATCTTTATATAATTTAAAAAAGAATGCTGTGAATCTGCTAATATAATTATGTATGAATAATAAGTAATACTAGTCTATAGTAAAATCAAATACTCTGCTGTAACAGCAATATTTATTTATTATTATTCACTACACTTTTTAACAGTGTTTCTGCGTCTATGATCACGATCTCTCTCATTTAATTACCTCGCCATGACGGTTGATTTTTAAGGCTAGTAAAAAATTCTAAATTAACTGCGTCTAGGATCAACATCCTTAAAAAAGGCAGTTCATTTCCAAACTGATGATAACCTGTGCATTTGGAGAATGTCGAAGAAATTCTGTTGTCCAATTCACTTTGTTTTTTTTAACTTTAAAACTTGTTATTTAGATTTTTGGGGCTTTAGTCGAGTTTAATGACATTGCCAATATTTGATGACATTTATTTAAAAATTCGTTCCAAATTTTACATTTGGAACGAATTTTATACAACACTATGATTTAATAACCATCGAGTAAATTAATGACAAACATAATCATTTAGTTATTTATTTTGTCAGTTTTAATTGATGACAATATAGCTGGTCCCATTTAATTGATTACGTCGCCATGACGATTAATTTTTTAAATTTGTAAGAAATTCCAAATAAGTGTAATTCTAACTTTGTGGATAACTTAACTACAAATGTGTGTAATTTAATGACTCTTTAAGCAATTTAATAATATAATGATTTAATGACCTATCATGTAATTTTTATGACGAGTGCTATGATTTAATGACCCTTGTGTAATATAATGACGAATTTAATGATTCAATGACTTGTTAGTCAGTTTTAGCTGATATCCATGTAAGTGGTCTATAGTAAAATCAAATAACAAGTTGTAACATTGATATTTACTGTTCACTACACTTTTTTGGTGCCTAAGACATAATCTGTCTCATATAATTACGTCAACATGACGATTTATAATATCTGTAAAAGTCCTAAAATTAAGTGCACCTAACTCTAACTTACTAGATGACTCAACTACAAATGTGTGTCATTTAAGTAATTTATGAAGAATACAATGATTTAACGACATTTCACATAATTTTTTTTATGAATACTATGATTTAATGACCTATGATCTCGACTTCTCTCATTTTATTACCTTGCTATGACGATTGATATTTAATGCTTGTAAATATTTCTAAATTGCATCTAGGATTAACATCCTTAAAATAGATACTCGATTATAATTCTTTAAGTAATTTAATAAAGAATTCAATGATTTAATGACCTCTCGTGTAATTTTAATGACGAGTACTATGATTTAATGACCGTTATGTAATTTAATGACGAATACTAAAATTTAATGACCTATGATCTCGATCTCTCCCATTTAATTACCTTGCCATGACGATTGATACGGACTGCTCGTAAAAATTTCTAAATTAAGTGCATCTAGGATCGACAACTTAAAAAAAGACGCTCGATTTTCAAACTGATGATAGGCTGTGCATTCAGAGAATGTCGGAGAACGACCGCCGTAAATTCTATTATCCAATTACTCCCCATATACGTTCGCCAAGTAAATTTCTACCATGGCTCGTATCTGCTAATAACCAACCTGTTATTATCCTTTCTCTTTCCGTAGTCCTGCGCGCGGAGACGTGGCATTAAATCAGGCCTGGAAACACACAAAATTGTAGACGCAATCGATAGAACAAACAGAGTAATGGCGCACTCGCGCAATATTTATGGACAAATGGCCACTTATTGGGAGGCTCGCGAAAAGGAACAAGAAGGCGGGAGAGTAACGAGCGCGCAATTAATACGAGAAGAAGAAGAAGAGGCCGGCACAATAAGATGTAATCTCATCGCACAATGGAGGGCACCGTAAATGCAACAAAAACCCATTTAAACTCCGACAAACACATAATAAGTTGCGTACAAACTCTGATTGCCTTTGCAGGAATAAATGAAATATTAAAATACTCTTCTAGTGAATACGGTATGCCTTGGCGGCGGTCCAAGCGGGCCGTGGATGGGTCTCGCAGGTCGAGGAGAGGATTGAACTAGCTGGGCCGCTGGACAGGCCGTGCTGGCGCCTTTTTTAATTACCCGACTTTGAATATTTCCCTAGACGTGCATTTTTGCCGAACTCATTCCAAATAAGAATTAGCACGATGCGCGTTGAATTTTTTACGAGCTCGTGTAAAACTGTTATTGTTATGCACCCCGTAAATTTCGAAATTGGGGTTTTAATGCCTGGGTCTCCGTGAAACGTGAAATGTACGTTTATCCTGGTTCTTAAGAAGGTATATCGGGGTCCGAGGGAAGTGAGGAGCGCAGGGGGATCCTATGCTTTTCTTATGCCAATTGCCCACTACCAATTTGAAAAAATTAAATTCTTTTGAAATTATTTGTCATAAACATTATTTATATAGCAAAGAAATCTACTCATATGCACATAGCATACATATTGACTAATTAACAACATAAAAATATCATATTTAAGTAGTTTTAAATTATATTTAATGAACGCATAAATGCTATGTAAATGTGGCAACAGCGCTAATAATTGATTAGCATTTGTACACACTGCGAACCTACAGACCTCGGACATCGAAGATTTTGCGCGTCAAATTCGGGTAAAGACGCGTACGCGTTCAAAAATGTATTGTGTGTAAACTATGTACAATATAATTATTATATATAGCAAATATATCGTATTATCCTCGCGAGGATTTGTATCCTTTATTTAAAATACGTAAATCATGTGAACTGGTAAAGCAATGAGAATTATGTTAATTTAGTTCTAAAGAAATGAAATGACACTCGCGCCCATCTCTCGTCCAAGTCAAAGAAAATGTTGGATGCAATTTTGAAGGTTCTATGATAGAAATTACATTATTACTCACTGTTCGTGTTTCGTGTTTTTAATCTCTATTTTAGTAATGTTGCAAAAGTTTTGCAACTATAACTATTTTTTTTATGTATAAAGTTTGTTGAGAAATATTTATGTTCCTTTGTTATTCCGTACAAATGCTTTTATCTCAAGTATTACTAATTATACTAATCAAGTTAAGAAAACTTTATGTAACCCTAAATATTTCTGGGTAATGGTTACGATGTTTTTATAAACCATTAAATATATTAAAAGGATTTATCAACTGTACTTTTTATTCCAATAAATATATCACAGCTTCCTAGACTTTTATAATTATTCTAGTTTTTTAAAAACATTACAAAAAATCATCTGTTGTGAATAATTTACTGTTGATAACAATGTACATGGGATTTAGGAAAAATGTATATGTTTGAAATCAATTTCGTTTTTATCAAGTCTTTCAAATTTACTCCCTCCTTGCTGTCAGCTTATTGCGACGTTGCCACATTAATCCTCAAGTCATACAGAAATGCAGTTATTGGTTTCTGTTTGTTTTACATAAAAAATAAGATAATACTGTGGTGTACTATCTATGGAAAAATTTTGTTTCACAATTTCTACATTTTTTTCTCAGTTATGGGCAAAAAAAGAGCCGCATCGTCCATTTTCGCCATATAAACCTATGTATAACTTTAAACAATATCTCAAAATCTAGATTAAAAAAAAATCAAAAAAATAAGACGCACAGGGAGCACTTGGTAATACGCTATATAAATTTCAAGTACATCTGTGCATTTGAGTAAACCCGATATACCTCCTTAAATACTCACTACGACGCGACAAGGCGATATCCTTTTGCCCGGGAAATTTGAATTTTTGCACATACATATTACAAGAAACAGATCAATTCGAAGCCCGGGAATGAAAAAATTATGCAGTATTGTAACAGAAGTGTTTATATGCATAAGCTAGCTAGTGAACTCACTAGAATAATAAATCAAAATATTATCCTTATGTATTTTAAAACACCTTTTTCAAATTTTTAGTCACAATCTTCATAAATGTCATTTATGAACTATGAGAAAAAAATGCGTTTTTATTCTGTTTCGAGATTTTTAATTCCGCCTAGAGCTTTGCTAACCGTTAGTAATCCATAAATTTAACACTCTTGTGTAACATTTTTTACACAATAGGAATTTATGTACGCATAGCATAATCTGAGGTATTACTTGCAACTTAGTTATTATTTATTTTAATTAGCACCTTCAAATTAAAAATTACTGTTAACTATTGTGAACATTTGATTTCAGTTCCAGGAAAAGAAATTTTATATAAGAAACAATACGGAGTTATTTCCCATTATTGGATTAACAGGTCCCGGGAGGACAATGCATCTTCATTGAATATTGTCTGGAAGTTAATGCATTTGATGTACATATGTGAATATCTGACAAGTTAAAGCAGTTTTAAGTTTAGATGTTTAGACTATCAAATTTGCTTATGTTTCCGATACCCTCTGCAAACCAGTCAAAATAAGGATTCATGGCGCGATTTCACCCATAACAGATAGATACAACTTTCAAAACGGCTCTGCAACCAGAAAAGAAAATTTACATGACACATTGAAAAAATCGCGGATCTTTCGATTTCACGCGAAGCTCCGTAGATCAACATATGTAATTGCTCCGGACGTCGCCATATACGAAATAGTCGATGTTTCCAAAATTCGACTGTCGAGCCGCCAGACGAGAAATACCACACTGACAGTCCTTCGTTCCATCGAACCACGACGACAACCCGTGCCTGCTCCCGAAGTTATCGATGAGAGCCAAGGGTGGAAAAATTCTCGACTCACTTTTGAAAAATATTTTCAGTGTCCAAATTTGGATAAAAACAAGTGTCGGTGCTACCAAGGCCTCTTAGAACAGACCAACCACTCAAATTTAAATCGTGGACTCTCCGCCTGAGCGTATCCTGGGGGAGGATCGTAAATTTAATTTTCCCTTGTTGGCAACCTCAAGGTCTCACATCAAGAGGGAATCACATGAGGTACCTGAGAATCTCTTCACTAGCGGGTGTGACGACCTAGCTAGAGGGTGAAAAAAGACCCAGGTTAACACGATCCCACCGATCCCATTATGAGTGTCTACGACTCGCTCATGATGCTCAGAGAAGCAAATAAGTCATGTCCACGGAGAGCAGCTAGCAGAACTGAGCAAAATCCCCGTCCTGGCGCCCAACGTGGGGCCATGACCGAGGACCGACAACTGGCCAGTTTGATACGGCGACAAAACACATTCTACTTTCATCATCAAAAAATCGTCGTCTGATACTTCCATAAAGAATCTACCCACCTCTTCTCTACTAAATACACTGGACAAATTTTTCATTTTAAAATTGTCACCGAAATTACGATTCTTTCACAACTTTTGATATCTACACCTTATCAACAGCTACATTTGGAGTTCAGTAGTAGTTTAATAGTATTTTTAATAGATTTTAAGATACCATTACAGATGTTAATTGTACCAAACAGTCAAATAAAATCAAATACATTCATTCATTGTTTATTTTTTCGGTTGTAATTCCCGTTATAAATCTGTTAGTGTTCGCGAGACATAAGCGCCTTGGTTTGCCAGCCAAATGAAGTCGTTTATAGCACTCGGTCGGCTCAAAAACTAAAAGCTAATAACGTTGGGTCGGGAATTTATTTGTAATGTGTGAAACCGCAATAAATTCCGCAAAATCAAAGCGCAAACCGAGTTGTTTATTTAAATCGGCACCGGCGCTGGCTACTTTCTGATAAATGCGGGCGTTAAGCCGAAAACAATGAGCGAAAGGGAGACCGCAATCAGCGCCTGCTACGATTCGTGCAGTCGGAAATGTCAGTCGGATCGTACAAACCGCGAGAAAAAATCTAGGACCGCGATCGCGCGTTAGAAACGATTCTGAATGGTTTATAATTGTCTTTTTTTTTTGACACGGTTAAAAAGGTACATGTCGCGAGCTACACTTCATGAGTAGCTCATCGCGTGACTATAAATTGATTCAGAGTAATAGGGTATATATTTTCAAGATGAAACAAAGGTTCTGTCACTACCGCTGCGCGCAGGGGTGGTCAGATCGGAGTGATTTTGGTGTTTTTATATTGTATGTTGGCCCTTTCTGCGTCGAATACAAGTTATCATTGCATGATTATAGGGATGAAAAATGTCGAGGAAGTGGTTTTGGCTATTTTTATAAGATTCTGTCGAGGTTTAAATGCACTATAAGTGAACTGTAGCACATAGGGCGGGGATAGAACTAGGAATAAAGGTCTATCCAGTTTATTATTTAATAACTTGTACAAAATCGTCAGTTGTTGGTGGATATATTCTACGTTCTAGCTTAACAATATTTAATTTAATGTGGACTTAATTATATGAAAGAAATTCAGGACTTGTTTTCTACCTTTTGTAATAAAAATATTCCATAATTTTATTCAATTTTCTAACGCCACCGTTATCAACTTTTTTACCTTTTATTATAGGTACCTTTTATTCGTAGAAAAATATGAAGAACCAATGTTTAATATCACAAATTACTTACTGTGGAGACCAAAAAAGTTGAGATCTTTTAGATATGCATTTGAATTCCCCATAGTTTTCGTTAGTTTTCTTTTCAAATATCGGTGCTAAATAATATATACAAATAGAATATGAAGCTCCATCAAGACGAAAACGACGGGAAGTTTCGATAAATTGTTGTTTATTAGCTTGAAATTTTTTAATAACTCAAAAAGAGATTTGTAAATAAAAATGTACATTTATTTATATATATTATTGTAAATATTTATTCTGTAAACTTTGATTGGACTATCACGATAAACCCTGTAATGAATCTGGTCCATATACAGGACTAGAAAATCCACATAATCCATCTGCCTTTACGTGCGAGTGACAAAGTAAGTTATACAAATTCGTACGATAGAAAAGGATGGCTATATTGAAGACGTTTCATAATCTGAATAG